GCCTAGGGTCGAACCCTAGGCCGGCTCTCGCTCTCTCGTGCTCCGATCTGTTCTCTCGTCTCTCTCCGTCTCTTCTCTTGCGTCGTGCGTTTATAGGGCTGCGAATTCAGATTTCCCTCTCAATCTAGGACTCAAGTTTGAATTGGAGTCTTCTTGCACTGCTGTTTCCGATCTGCTCTCCCTCTCGCCCCTCTTCCGTCTTTTCTGGGTTAATTGGATGAATGGGTCTAGTCCTAATTTGGGCTTGGCCCAACTTCTTTATTCTTCGATTGTAGTGCCCAACTTTGACATCTTCTTCAACTCTTTGGATTCTAAAATATATCTAAAATTATTTGTCAATGAAAATAATATTTACAAAATAATTGACAAATATAAATATGCTCAAAATCATGCATTTTATGTATAAAATATAAATAATAGCCTAAAATGCTAAATAGAACAAAATGTGATTCTTTAGGTATAAAATGCACATAAATCATATTAAAAATGCTAAGAAGTGAGAGATTAAAATATGATATTTTGTGACTTAACAGTCTGCGTACACACACCCTCCCAGACCCTACTGTTGTGGGATTCAACTGGGTTGTTGTTGTTGTTGTTGTATATATATATATATATCTAATGAACAATGAAAATAAAAAATTATCATAATTTGGACACTTCAATTATTATTCACTTAGACACAAATATAAAGCTTCTTGAATGCTAAGCACGATTTTCTACTCAAAAGATCCTACATTTTGTTCAGATAGATTTTTTCTAAAGATACCAAAGTATCACAAACTGGGTACTTCATTTATTATGATCTATTTGATGAAAAAATCAAGAATTAATTTATTAAAATAGTGTTTACCTGATAATTACCATATTCGAACCTTAGACTCTATTAGCAGCCTCTAGGAAAAATCAGAGCTCAATGTGTCAAACTACTCAATAACAATAACGTCCCAGTAATACCAACTTTCTTATAGTCTTGAGGGTTAATATGCATGTAGTCTTACCCATGTTAGAACAACATGGCTATTTTCATTAGACCCTAGACACATTATTGCATTTACTACCCTATACGCCACAGTAACTAACAAACAAGGGAAATTTAATTTTCAATTTGGTTTCAGTACATTATGTGTAGAGCTAAACCCTAAAGCATTGAGTGTTTGTCGATGATGGGGTACAAACATGTAGTGCATCAGTGGGCAGTGAATAGGATAGAGGTATCTTCCTAATTTTAGTTATTTAGTGTTACCTACATCACTTAAGATTATTTGTTAAAGATTTAGTATGCCATGTTTAGGCAATTTATATGGCTGCTTGCAAAAATATTTTCCAAAATATTTGGACTTAGATTATACTTTTATATAATGATAGATGACTTCACTAAAAATGTAAATACACTAATGTTTTCCAAAATATTTGGACTTAGATTATACTTTTATATGTTCTTTTCGATTTATATATAGATGAATTTTCTCTATCAAATATTTATGGTATATCATTTGTTAAAATTTAGAGGCTAATATTATATTTTTCTTGATTTTTTAATCATTAACAATGAAGAAAAAATAACAGAGTAAAAAATTATTCGTTTCACCCGTGCGTGGCACGGGTTAGAATAATAGTAACAATATGTAGGGTTGGATTCGTATTTTGGGTTTGATTTTTACACAAAACTAAAACCGTGATGGTGTAAATTATTTCGACCGGTAAATCATTCTTACCCGGGCAAGAACGACAAATTAGTCTAACAAAATACACCCAAATAAAAATACGGGGATTTTGATGTGGAAACCCAATCGGGAAAAAAGCACGGGCCTTTTCTAGCGATACCTTACCATCAGAGGATTTTTATTAATATCGGGGGTACACGGTACATAACTTAGGCTCAAAAGCCATTAACGGAGAGCTTTTTAGCTGTTGAAGAGGAAGAAAAATGAATAACAATCTAGAGAGGAAAGAGATGATAGTGGAGCAGTGAAGAGAAAAAGAGATGCCCCCTAACATTGAGGGCAAATCCTCCTTTTATAGGGAAGGAGGGGGGAGCATCTTCGAGGAATATTCTTTTATTCCTCCATTTTACTAAACAGACCTGGTTTGATTGTTCTTCATAAATAATTGGAAAATGTGGACCGAGCCACGTATTATTTCACATCCAACCTAATGGAAGGTTAGTGTTTCATTCGGTTCAATTTTACATAAAAAATATGTGTCGAGCGTCCAACAAACATTTAGAAGATTCTAAATAGTCTCAAAGACATCATATCTAAATATCAATTACGGAGAATTTGTGTTTTTTGGTATAATACTTTCATTTCCATCATAACATTCAAGTTTTTATGTAAATATGTAAATTACTCAATAATTAAAAGATACGAAGTACTTTGGAGTTTCTAATCGTCTTAGTGTAACGTGACTAATCTGATTATATTTGTAAAGATTTAAATTAAAAGATTTATCGGTACTAATTATTCGAAAGAATTGGAATGGACTATGTGGAACTTATAAATGCTTGTCATTCAATTACAAAAGTTATATCGCTGGGTAGGGATCGACAGATCGAAATTAATGACACAAACGGATCTCAATTCAGAACAAGTTCGCTCGAGAAGTGTGTTTTTATTCAGACACGTTATTTTAAATTACGGAGCACAAAACTTTAGGTATATAAATGGATTGCTTGGCCTCTACGCCACAGCCCTGTTTCCTTCTTCGGTCCTTCTTCGTCTTCAACAGGGCGCAACACAAATCCTCTCCCCTGTCATTCTTCTTTGATCAGGCGAAGCACCGCGACGTCGCGAGCAAAATCCAACGGAGGTGACGACTTGGAAGAGGGCGGAAACTACGACCCTCAAGGTGGGTGAGTCAGGTACTGGATTCAGCAATCTTCAGCTCTAATTTAGGGATCGACCCGCTAGGATAAATTCTCGATGGATGAAACCCTGGTGATTTCCATTAGTAGCAACAACAAGGGTCTCCGACGACCTTTAGACGGCGGCGTATAGATCTAGTATGGCTCCTCGTTGTTCCATCGACCTCCGGTAGTGATGACGTACGGTTAAATTTGGACAGTGGGTGAAAGCTCCTCTACAATTACATCTAATCAATGTTCTCTAGAATTGAATCGAACCAACGAGGTGAGTACATGGGCAGCTAACACTAGGTTTGAAATTCTGTTCATAATTGTTATTGTGATTGATCTATGTGACTTATCTGTGTAATTGTGATTGTGATTTTGGGAATTGTTGTCATTGAATTAAAAAGAGTAGTATGCCTGATTTAGACGTTGATTGATGAGTTAATGTGCTTGATAATGTCTGGAATGTTAATATGAACCTATTGGTGTCTGTTTTTATGGGATTTTCTGTTGGTTTGATGCTGAAAAACGAAACAAGTGCAAAGTAGAAAAATTTTCGCATCGGAAGGTAGGAGGTACCGTACTACCGCCACACTTTGTTTGTCTTCTTTCAGCTCTACCGGTACTTGTGACCGTACGGTACTTAGGTACCTGACGGATAGTATGCCCTACCACCCGGCCGGTAGTGGCTACTGTGCCAGGCCTACCAGTAGGGTCCATTTGATTCGGTCGGTACCCCAGTACCGTAGGACCGATACCCATGTACCATAAAGATAGTACACCGTACTATGATGGGTACCGTTTGGTACTTGATGTCGGGTCTGTCGATTTGTGTTTCGTCAAGGATTGATTCCAAGACTCTGTGTGTTGCATGACTGTAAACATGGGTGTTTACACTTAGTGTTAGGCCGCCATTTGATTATGTTGAATATCTTATTAGATGCATTTCGGATTTATGAATGTTGTATGATGTATTGTTAATAAATGTTGAGCATATCACCTAGAAGAACTCTAAGAAATGACCTCAATGGATTAGTGGCAAGGTATGTCATAAGTATAGTAAGTTAGAGCCATATGGTACGTGCTGGGTCCAATTACTATTCAAGTAAAGACGTGCGCACGTGGGATCTATGAACAATCATTCCGAAGGGGACATCGATCTCACCCACCCAACGAGGAACTCCCCAGTTGGTTTAGAGCTTGGCCTTAGTTCCGAAGGGGAAGGTCGTGACTCCCGTAGGAAAGTAACAACATAAGCCTTAACCTAGATTAGGTTATGTGCCCAATAAGAGGACAGAGTCAGAATTATTATAAGCCTTAACCTTGTTAGGATTTTAAGCGCGTAAGATACCAAAAAATATCGAGAACACCAGAAAAATGAGAGAACAAACACAAGAAAAATATATGAGAGAAAAAAATTATATTTCCACTATTTCAGGACAATATACAAAAAACTCTCCTCTGTTTACAACACTAAATTTTAGACACTCATAAACAGATCTTTCCACATCCTATTCCCGGATGTATTATTCTGAGTAACTAAAATCAGTTACTCCCTACACTCACCCACACTCACCAAGACCCTTGGATTTTCCCGGTGGTATTATTGTGTAAAATTCCTCCCGTTTTCTCTCTCTACCTTAGTGGTGTGTAAAACCTACACACACGTCTACCTTAGTCTCACTCCTTTTAAAGTAACTAAAATCCCTTCAAAAGTTAGACTCACTCGTATATGTGCAATTGCCTAGAAGGTGCAATAGATTTGTTGATTTGCACCAATCCAAAGAGGTAGAAACAAAACTAAAAAACTCTCCACATGCATGTTGTACGTCCAAATGCATGTCACTATTCTTTTTCTTTTTTTATTTCTTTTTCTCTCTTTTTGAATATTTAATCAATATTTCCCAACAAACTCCACCTTAATTAAATAATCAAAAAACTTTGTAGCTCCACCTCACTTCTCCGGTGAGATCACCGCTACTCCAAAATAAAAAAAATACCCTTGGCGCCATCTTAGTCTGCTCCACCGAGATCACCGCTGCCAACCTCAAAGAAGAAGAAGAAAAAAATCCTCTTGGCTCCACCTTGGTCCAACCACCAAGATCACTACCACCTTGAAAAAATTTCATGACCCTATCTTGCTCAATACTGCAAGCTCTCCGCCACCATGTGTTGACTCATGGTTGTGGCCTCACCTTGCTCAATACGACAAGGTTCTCACCATTTCTAGTTATCGTTGTACTCGTGGCTCCATCTCAACCAACTCGTCAAGATCACCACCACTACCTTAGCTCCTTAGAGTTTTAACACTCCACCCCGAGCTAAAAAATGACAACTCACCTTTGTTAACACTCTCTGAGACCAC